CTTTTATTAATTTGGTTTTTGGAGATAGGGTTTTTCCAAGTTGCTCAGGCTGGCCTTGGACTTGAGATCCTCCTGTCTCAGCTTCCTGAGTTGCTAGGATTACAGGCAGGCCCCACAGTGCCCCAGCCCGTCTGTTTTTATATTAGAATCACCTGTGAATAGAATTAAGGATATGTTCATTTTTCCAAAACTAAGCAATTGATATAAAGATTTAACGTGTGTATCATTGTTTCTTATACTGAGTGATAAACTATAAACTATTTATTAAAAACATATATATACTTCATGCTGAATGGGTTCTTTCCTGACAGGAAAATAGACTGCCTATTCTCTCATTTAGATATTGGATCAAGTAGTGCCTACCCTTTAAATTCTCTGAAGTTATTAAGCACCTAAGAGGCTATAGATCTAAAAGATTTAAAGCCAAAGAGTTAGGAGTTACTGCCCGTGGAAAATCAAATAAATGTGAAAGAAATTTTTTTTGAGTTTATATTATAATCTGAATGTAATACAAACTTAAAAGTAAGTATCTCTGATATAAGTTGGTAGACGTTTTAGATAGTATCACACCTAGTTTTTAAGAAATCCTTCTATAGAATAGAGGAACACCCTTTCTCCTTAACTAATTCCTGTGTTCAATCAGAATTGAGTTCAATGTTCCATTCTGTTTTTTGGTTGTCTATGGGAATGTTAGATTTTTTGGCTTAAAATAATGGGTTCTGAACACAAATGACCTTGGTTGATTCTAGGCCCCCTCCTATGCTAGATAACCCCAGGTAGGATATTTACCTTCCAAAATCTCAATTTTTTTGTAAATATGGGCTTATAGTACCTCAAACCTAGGGCTGTTTGGGTGTTAAACAATATAGTACATGGAAGTGCTGCTAGCTCCTGGTGCCACCTTCAAGGCACGTTGCAGTAAATGTTAGCTCATGTTGATGTGTTTTCCTTCATATATAAAGAGAGCTTTGTTAACAAAGATCAATATTCACTGTTACTCTAAAGTATTTATCAAATAAACCTGGACCCCATCAGAACTACAGTTCTTTTGCCTAAAGCATCATCTACATCCAGAAATTATTCCAGAGGGTAAATCATGCTATGTGTGTGAAGCTCTGTCCATTAAAACCATTACAGCCCAGACAAATAGGTCAAGGGCTGGGTGTATCCAGATGAGCAACCCGGTCTCTGCCCTCATAGTTTACAGTGCAGGAGGGAGATAGATGCAAATATAAATAACCCTGGCAGTGAAGGATAGAGAGGGCAGGTAGAAGACTGTTGATCTTGGATTGCATGGGAAAATACTCAGCCACAGGCTTCCAAAATAGAAACTGCAGTTATGGCCTAAGACCCCTCCCAGTGTTGCCCATGCAGCATGCTCTTCCTTAGGGAGGATGATCCACATGGGGAAACCTGACAGTCCTGATATGGTGCTGTGGGCTTTTGAGTCCCGGAGGAGGAGAGGGCAAGGCGAAGTAAGCATGGAGGGAGCAGCCACAGAGACAGAGACAGAGACAGAGAGACTGTGACCGCCCTGTCCGGTTTCCTTATGCTCCCCTGTCCTCAGATCTCTTGGTCCCTTTCTCAGTCTGCGTGCCCACCCTATCCACTTCTCAATCCTCATGAGGCTCAGGACCCTCTTCTTCCCTGAAATACAGGGGCTGGTGGATAGCTCTAGTGGGTAGAACATGTGCGCTTAGTATGCACAAGGCCCTTGGTTCAATCCCTAGCATGAAAAAATAAATAAATTCCTTGGGTCCTGAAATCACTCTAAGTAACCAGAGCCTTCCTTGGTAGGGTCAGGTAAAGCTGTGGATTTTCCCTCAGACCTTATTTGGTACCCAGCTTTACTTTTTATCACAAGAAAGAGAAACAGATGTTTCTTGGAGAATAAGTCTCAACCTCAGGAATCACCCACCCCAGGACCTTTGCAAAATACCTCATGCCTGGGTCCTCCCCCAGGGATTCTGATTTAATCACACCAGACATCAGTATATTGACAACTTTCTAGGTGGTTCTAATGTACAACCAAGGCTGAGCCGCCCCTCTGCCTGCCCTGGTTTTATTTCCCCTAGGTGTTCTCCAGTAAGTTTGAGGCAACCAAACCAGCCCAGATCCAATAACAATTTTCAAATCAGTCGTTCCTATTTTAATACCAGTCCACATTTTCCCTTTGGAAACACTTGGCACTTTGTGTGCTTCAGGAAGTAATGTTGGCTTCTGAGAAATCCTCAAGCTCATCCCACAGCCCTTTCTCAACTGGTTGCCACCTTGAAACAGTGAGCCCACCAGCCAGACATGACTTACTCCCTTGTTTCACATCTCCATGGTATGATGACAGGTTTTGTTGTAGAACCTTTTATTCAGGCCATTTAATTTCAGATTCTTCCTAAGTCTCTCATGTAGCAAGTCGAAACCTGTTGTCAGGTACCAAATTGAAGCATTTTGCATCTGGTACTACTTCAATGTATCTATATACTTCAAGGCTCTTAACACATCTGTTAGCCTTATATATTCCTTTGCTTATCTCGAGTATGTGACATTTCTGTATACATTCTGTTTGTACTACTTTATTCTGTTATTTAGTTATGGGTCAGTCAATCTCCTGAACCAAACAGTTTCCAAATCAGGCAAAAACTGCCCTCATGGGACTTCCGTTCAAGTGGAAGAAGTCGGAAAAGGTATTACATAAGCAACTAAAATAGGCATAATATGTTCAAAGTTATTAAACTCTATGGAGAAAAAATAATTCATGGCAGGAAGAAAGGGAATGTGACAGGAGGGACTTAATATTAAATCGGCTTGGCAGTATTGTCCAAACAAGAGGGGGCAAAGGCTTGGACCAGGGTGGCAGTGGTAGAGATGGTAAAAAAGTGATTCAGTTCTGGAGCAGCTTCAGCAGTGTCTGCAGAAGGCAAGGGATGGAGCCACACCAACACCAAAACCAGGAAGAAGAGAACTACAGGCAGAAGTGCTGTGAGTACAAAGGCCTTGAGGCAGGAGTGAATCTGGAATGTTCTAGAAACTGCCATAAGAACCAGTGCAGCTGGAGCAAAGAGAATGTTCAGGAGAGGACTAAGACTAGAAGGGCTGGGAGTGAGATTACATAAGGCCTTTAGGACTTTTGCAAAGATTTTGACCTTTCCCAAGTGAGATGGAGGGTTACTGGTGAGTTTGGAGCAGAGAAGAGACATAGTATTTTTTTTTCATCTTTCAGTCATTACTTATTTTAATATTAAGCACAAAAGAACTTTTCCAAATCCTGAAATACATAACTGCTACATGTAGGGTTATAATTACTTATTTTAATATTAAGCACAAAACTGCTACGTGTGGGGTTGGAATGTCTCCCAGAAGGCCCTTAGAGACCCAGTATTTTGAAAGCATTATTCTGGCTGCTCAGTTGAGATTAATCTGTAAGGGTCAAAGATGAGAGCAGGGAGACCAGCTAGGAGGTCGTTGCAGTAATCCATGGAGAAATGATGGTGGCTGGACCAAGGTAATAGCAGACAGGTCAGAAATGATTAAGGGTGTATGTAGCTCAGTGGTAGAGCTCTTCCCTAGCAGGCATGAGGTCATGGGTTTGATCCTAGCACTCCAAAAAAAAAAAAAAAAAGGAAGGAAATAAAGAATCTGGATATATTTTTGAAGGTAGAATAAGTGCCTATCTAATTTGGGGGAGGGGTGTACCAGGAATTGAACTCAGGGACACTTGACACTGAGCCACATCCCCAGCCCTATTTTTTGAATTTTACTTAGAGACAGGGTCTCATTTTCACATTCCTCTCTTAAAATAATAGAACTCCAAACTCCAACAAGGAATCTGAATGATGCTAGTTATAATATTAGGTAAATTTTCTAGATCTTGAATGCCATGAATTCAGTATGATCTGTTTTTTTAAGGAATGACATTTTTGCTGATTTGAACCACTTTTGACCATTGTAACTTCCCACAAATATCATGCTCTGATTCTGCTCATTACTAGTCATCTGACACTGAAAATTGTAACCCCAACTATCCATGAGCACTGTTGGCCTGCTATTGCTTAGAAAACACCCATAATTCTCTCCTGTACCTTATTCCACTGTAGGTCCAGGGAGGTGACTGAGTCAGGCAACTGGAGTAAAGAATGCAGTACTGCTAATAACATCATAAAGGAGCCCCTGGCTCAGAATAAATCAGGCTGAAAATACCTCTAGTCTCACTCATATTCTTTCTTCCTTCTCCCAACTCTCCAAATAGCAAAGAGGAGAAGATTTTCCATTTCTACCACCATGCAGATCTCTCAGGTAGCCTCCAGTGAGGAGCTTCCTCTTTGTCCTTCAGTACAATGCAGGTGTCATGAGGGAATGCAGAATGGTTCTCATTCTCAGAGAATCAGGTGGTCCTCATCCCAAAACTATGTGCAGCTTCCTCGAAGTTCTAGTAGCCACATAAATATTTTTGTTATATATTTTAAACAATTGGGAGACTTGCAGAATAAGCATATATTCATTTTTTTCATTCATTCATTTAACAATTATTTATTGAGTACACTTTTTGTGCTAGATACTGTGCTAGGCAGGCACTGGGAAATAGGAATGAACAAAAGCAAAGTTCTTGGCTGGGGTTATAGCTCAGTTGGTAGAGTGCTTGCCTTGCATGCAAAAGGCCCTGGGTTCTATCCTCAGCACCAAAAAAAAAAAAAAAAAAGTTCGTATTTCTTAGGAATTTACCTTATGATGCAGGAAACAGAAACACAAGTAAATAAGCACACACCTACACCATATATCCATAAAGATAATGCTATGAGGACTGAAGATCAGCATCACATTTTAGCAAAATAAGCCAGACTCAGAAAGTCAAGGGTCACATGTTGTGTCTCATATGGAGAAGATAGAGAAAGAAAAGTGCGGGGAGAAAAAAGAAAGAAAGAAAGAGAAAAAAAAACCTCATGAAAATAGAAGGGAGACCAGTAGAATTGAAGAAGGAGATCAGGGGGAGGGTGGAGAAGGGGAGTGCTGGGGGAGGAGTTGATCAAATTCTGTTGTGTGCATATACAAACATGTCGGTAATGAATTTTACTGTTATGTATAATCATATAACACCAATAAAGAAATTTAAAATTTTTTTATAAAGGATAACGCTATGAGGAAAGCCACTTAGAAAAATGGAAAAGGGAATTCTGGTAAGGCATGCTGCGGCCATGCCTGAGTTTGTGTTCATGTTTTCAGTAGGGTAAGCAGACAAGGCATCTCTGAAAACAACAATTGCACAGAGACCTGAAGGAAATGAGAGAGCAGTATCCATGCCCATATCTGGGGGCAGCATGTTCCTTATTTTAGGAAGTCCTTAGCTAGTTTTCCTCTCTTTCTATACACCCTAAGTGTTTTCATCCTGTCTCATGACTTTAACACTTTCTGTCCCCTGGTGACTCCAACCAAGATCATTCCCAACTCTGTCTGGTGTGTTCAAGTGTTTGTGGGGCCCCTCACTGGGATGTCTAATACACACAGCTGAAACCAAGCCCCCCCATTCCCCTTCTGCCTGCAATCTGCTCTTCCGGTAGTTTCTTGCTCCCTCAGCAACCCATCCTTTCTTCTCTTCAAGTCAAATATCTTGTACCTGTATTGTACATTGCAAAAAGGTAGAAGAAAGGATTTTGGAAGTGTTTACCATAAAGAAATGATAAATGTTCAAGTAGGTAAATATGTTTAACCTGATTTAAACATGACATAGTATGTACATTATTGCATGTTACATGCCGCTCTATTAATATGGACAGTTTTATGGCTTTTATGTATCAGTTAAAAAGAAAAAAGAAAAATCATAGAAAATAAGATCAAAAAACAATGAAAATAATGTTGGCTTTATCTGACTTCTCTCAAACCCTATATCTAATCTATCAGCTAGAGCATGAGGTACTTATACTGAGAAGAACTAAAAAAGGAGAAAACTTGGAGAAGTTAAATGAAGAAGATGAGGTAAAATAGAAAGTTGAGCAGTAATAGAAGTAACTGTGGGGTAGTATTTGGTAGAATAAAGAAAGCCAAAGCTAAGGGTATGTGAGTTCAGGAACCTCGGGTTTGTGTGAGTTCAGGAACTCGTGTTGATATGAAGTCACATCTTCAATCATGTTTCTATAAAAGAGCTAAACTTTCAGAGTGATCCAAAATATATGTTTTAATATGTCTCAGTATCAGTGTTAGTTGGCAGAATAAGCCTGCAGTCCCATGAATTAGAAAGATACTATAGGTACCCATGGGGATATTTTACATCAAGTTCACCTAAAGTGTTTCCTATTCTGTGTCTCTGGAAACATTGTGGGACCTGAGGAGGAAGCTGAAAAAGAAGTCATAATATAAAAAATAAAACAGTGAACATTTGAGCCAGTGACAGGAAAACAGACCTCTTTATAGGCATAACTGCAATAAAGTCAAACACTTTGCTAGAACATCAGGGAAGGAAGAGCCTGATAATTTTCTAAGAGATGGTTAATAGTTAAGTATTTCATCCAAATTAATTTGAACAAGAACAATGAAAAGGAAGTTAGTAGTCAGAATCCTTCGGTTTCAATTTGGTATAAGTTTCCCAGTATTCAAATTCTCAGTACAGAAGGTTCTTGCTGTTTTGCTGTATGGAGTTACTGGAAATCACATGCAGATCACCCATAAGAAGAATGGAATAGGGCCATATTTGGGGACAGCATTCTTCACCAGAGGATTCAGTATCAAACCAAGGACAGGTATAACCAAGAATATAAGGTAGGAGTGCTTTTTGGGGCTCTGTAAATTTCCATTTTCCTAGCCACTTATGGTAGAAGTCTTTCCCATACTAGTGACTCCTTCATGGACAGAAGTTGAGTCCTTTAAACATCTTTTTAAAAAGTTCTTTCCTTAGGCTGAATTGCTCTCTTTTTGTGAGATTTTAGGCTGGATCAAGTCATAGGTGTTCTGAATACAGTCCTCAGGTGGCTGACTTCTCAAGCAGGTGATCTTACCAATCGATATCAAGTCTAGACTTCCCATAAAAGAGGTTATTAGAGACTAAGGTAGTTTTCCTTGTGAAATGAAATGAGGTTGGTTATTGGAATCTGAGAGTTAAGTTAGAATTTTTGCAGATGCCATTCATGAGGTTTGTAACCATGGGGAAACTGACCTGCCTTTGCAGATTTCCTCTTCTGTAGAGCACAGATTTAATGTAGAGATTCAACAGATAACATTTTTTTAATAACTGCAATTAGCAGGTACAATAGTACTAATTACCAGTTGTTATACCTTTCCTTCCCCATTTAACAAAAATGATTCAAAGTTTGTGTCTTCCATTTTTTTATGAAGAATTATTTTTTTAGTGTGATGCCTCAAGTGGGGACTGAAGGCACAAACACCAAGAAATTCTTATTCTTATTAATAATAAACTCCCTTATTCACAATAGCCATGATGTGTAAATAACCAAAGTATCCATCAGCAGATGAATATATTACTTTTACAATGTGATATACACCACCTACAATGGAATATTATTCAACTCTTAAAAAGAAGGAAATTCTTCAATATACAAGGTCATGGGTAATTCTTTAGGACATTAAGTGAAATGAGCCAGTCACAAACAAATGCTACATTATTCTATTTAAATGATGTATGTAAAATGGTCCAATTCATAGCATCAAAGAGAGCAGTGGTGGTTGCCCAGGGCCAGTAGGAATGGGGATTTCCTAACCAACAGGCACAAAGTTTCAGTTAGCAAGATAAATAAGCTCTAGAGACTTGGTATACAAATTATATATATAGTCAACAAAACTGTGTTGTATGCTTAAATTTCTGTTGAGAAGGCAGAACTTTTTATTAATTGTTCTTACCACAATAACATAACATTTTAAAAAATGGTTAACTCCCTTGATCACACCAAATTTGATTTAACTATTCATTTCTATTGATAATGTTAGTACCTGTCACAAATCGAATGCTGATTTCCTGCCTTGTACTACAATCAGTCCTTGTCATTCTGCAAACTTCCCAATAAACCCATGAAAAAAGATCTTGTCTTTTTTTCATATTTTAAAAACAAGGAAGCAAATGTAGCCTGCTTGGTGTCACCCAGTTTAAAGTGGCAGAGTGAGGATTCCAACTTAACTTCAGTGCCATGTTCTCGTCTAGAGATTGTAGAGTATCACTCCAGTACTCTAGTTTTGGGGCTGGTGGCATAGTTCAGAGGTACAGTGCATGCTTAGCATGCACAAGGCTCTGGGTTCAATTCCAGCACAAAATAAAAGTAATAATATTAAAATAACAACAATACTACAACTCTAGAACTATACTAACAGAATAGTTTTTGAGATATGAACTACCCTAATAACTGGAGAAATATCTCCTCCCCCAAAAAGTGCAAATCAGGCATAGAAACCATAAGGTGAGATAATGTTTTTATTTCTTATGCTTTTCTTTTTTCTTTCCCCTTTTCCTACCAGAAAACCAGAACTCTAGAATGAGCAGAGATTCCATATCATTTGGAGAAAAATAAATGGTTAGAAATATTACATAACACTTAATTTTTAAAATCATTTATGATTCTCTATCTCTGAAGTAAGTCTCATTTGATCTCCACAATCCCTTTGCCGTCACAGTATTTAATTCCATGAGTCAAAAGAAAAGAAAGGTACAGAATATTTATTAGATCAGCTTAGTCCTTATTGCCATGCTTCCAACCCCTGGCATATTTTCTGTATTTAATCTGTTTACATGTTATTTGCATGTTGCCATGGTAATGCTCATTCCATGATGTGAGAGACCTTAGTGCTGAGGAAGATTTTCTTAATGTTAAACCCTGCATTTTCATTTCCACATTTTATCTTGATGTTACCAGGGCAACCAAAATAATTTCATTTTCTCTTTGAAATTGATGCCCTAAAGGCTGTTATACCTCATGCTGACTCATTTATGTTCTTAGAATTTTTTTCTAGTTTAATTTCTGCAGCTACTTTCCTTACACAGATGCTTTCTGCTTTTCTTTCTATTATAATCATAGTGGTGCATTGTTGGCATAGTGGTTAAGTATTTGGGGGGATTACAAATCCCACTGGTAATTAAAAAAAGAGCTCTGAACTTTCTCATTAAAAAATACCAGTTTAAGAAATAGCGGAGGAAAATGTTGGATATATAGAAGCCTATTCAAGTATTTCTTGTCCAAATTTATTTGGGTCTTAGATTATGAATAGCAAATTGCAAGAGTTTGTATGGCAAGAAATTTATCAAGAAAATCTCTCTGAATCTATTCCATTTCTAAATTCATGTTGTATCTAAACAGACATTTGTGCACGTCCATCTTAATTTCTTCATTCCAGAGCATGCTTGGTGGTCTTTTTTTTTTTTTTTCAGGCTTGGTTTTATACCCCATCCTTCTCTGGAAGGTCCCTTGGCAAATTCCCTACAGGAGTTAAATGACTAGTTGGCATGCATCTCTGCCAGTGCTGGTCTGGCTCACACAAACCCCTTTGAATCAGTGTAAAGAGCTGAGGAGCTAAGAAAAGTGATAATGCATTTTTTAAATCTTTTTGCACTTAGCTCTATTGCCCACAGATTCTATTTTAGCTTCTTATTTATCTTTGATCCCCAGTGTTTGGCACTTGGTAGGCAAAAAAAAATGTTGGAAAAGGGAAGAAGGAAGGAAGGATAGAGAGAAAGAGGAAAGAAGGAAAAGAACGGAAGGACACATCAAAAGAAGGGAAAAATAAAATGAGAAAAGCAAAACTGCAAAGTGTATGAATCTGGAGGACATCATGTTAAGTGAAATAAGCCAGGTACAGAAAGAAAAATGCTGCAGGTTCTCATTCACATGAGATCTAGAAGTTGATCCCACAGAAGAAAAGAGTAGATAGAACAATGGTCACTCCAGACTAGAGGAAAGATAGGGAGGTAGGACAGTAGGGAGGGGTTAAATAGTACCAAAATAAAACTGAATAGAATTCTTTCTTGTCTTCTATAGCCATAGTAGTTTATTATAGTCTACAGTAATTTATTTGTTTTTTAACATTTATTTATTATCTGAAATTCACTTTTTTAAAGAAGCACTATTTGTTTAGTTAGTTATTCTGAGAGAGAGTCTCACTAAATGGCTGAGACTGGCCTCAAATTTACAAGCCTCCAACCTCAGCCTCCCAAACTGCTAGAATTACAGGCATGTACCGCCATGCCCAGCTACAGCAATTTATTATATATTTCAAAATAATTAGAGGAGAAAAAATGTTTCTAACACGTAGAAATTATACATTTTTGAGGTGGTGGAAATGCTAATTACCCTGATTTGATCATTATACATTGTATATATGTATTGAATTGTCATATTGCACACCATAAATATGCACAAATATTAGGTAACAGTTAAAAACTTTTTTAATTCAATGTTTTATTTTTTTAGATTTTGTATTCTCATTTGTTATATTTGACAACAGAATGCATTACAATTTATATTACACATATCTCTGGTTTTATACAGATATCTCTGGTTTTATTCACATCATTCACTTAGTGTAATGATGTTCATCTCATTTCCACCTCCTTTCCTATGCCCATACTTCCTCCACTCCCCTCCCACCCCTTTGCCCTATCTAGAGTTCATCTAATCCTCTTTTGCTCCCCCTCCCAACCCCATATGAATCAGCCTCCTTATATCAGAAAAAATATTTGGCATTTGTTTTTTTGGGATTGGCTAACTTCACTTAGCATTATATTCTCCAACACCATTCATTTACCTGCAAATGCCATGATTTTATTCTCTTTTATCGCTGAGTACTATTCCATTGTGTATATATGCCACATTTTATTTATCCATTCATCTACTGAAGGGCATCTAGGTTGGTTCCACAGTTTAGCTATTGTGAATTGTGCTGCTATAAACGTTGATGTGGCTGTGTCCCTGTAGTATACTGTGTCCCTGTAGTATGCTGTTTTGAAGTATAAACCAAGGAGTGGGATAATTGGGTCAAAAGGTGGTTCCATTCCCAATTTTCCAAGGAATCTCCATACTGATTTCAATATTGGCTGCACTATTTTGCAGTCCTACCAGCAATGTATGAGTATGCCTTTTCCCCTACATCCTCACCAACACTTACTGTTTGTATTCTTAATAGTTGCCATTCTGAGTGGAGAGAGATGAAATCTTAGAGTAGTTTTGATTTGTATTTCTCTAATTGGTAGAGATGTTGAACATTTTCTCCTATATTTGTTGACTGATTGTATTTCACCTTCTGAGAAGTATTTGTTCAATTCCTTGGCCCATTTATTGATTTGGTTATTTGTTTTTTTGGTGTTCAGCTTTTTAAATTCTTTATATACTCTAGAGATTAGCGCTCTGTCTGATGTGGGAGTGGTAAAAATTTGCTCTCAAGTGATAGGCTCTCTATTCAACTCACTGATTGTTTCTTTTGCTGAGAAGAAGCTTTTTAGTTTGAATCCACCCTGTTTATTAATTCTTGATTTTAATTCTTGCACTATAAGAGTCTTATTATGGAAGTAGGGGCCTAACCTGATATGGTGGAGATTTGGCCCTACTTTTTCTTCTATTAGACCTAGGGTCTCTGGTTTAATTCCTAGGTACTTGATCCACTTTGAGTTGAGTTTTGTGCCTGGTGAGAGATAGGCATTTAATTTCATTTTGTTGCATATGGATTTCCAGTTTTCCCTGAACCATTTGTTGAAGAGGCTATCTTTTCTCCAATGCATGTTTTTGGCACCTTTGTCTAATATAAGATAATTGTATTTATGTGAG